CTGTCACCACATGCTTGCTCAGGAGGAAGTGCTGCTGACAAGTTGACGTCCTCTTTCATAAAACACTCAAAGCCAAGTGTCAGATGGCTTGTCAACGTCTCTGCATTTCCTGAAAGGACTGCACAGGCAGGGGGCTCAAATCAAACAGCCACTGTTATGGCTCTGAGCTGCCAAGCAAGGCTCTCCGTCAGTAACAACTGATTCATGTACGGGCTAGCCAGCACTGAGGCATGAAGGTAAGATGCAGAAATGTGCTACTAGATAATCTGAGGAATTAAGGCATAAATACACAATGGGTTTTGTTCGATTCTGGCTCCAAATGATCACATAAAGAACCTTGGCTACTCACACAGCTTCTGTTGTGTGAGTATCCACTTTTCTTGCGACATCTTCCAACCACAGAGGCGCGCGATGCCGCTACCTGATCAATTCTAAATTAACTCGATGCGGCTCCAGTTTACACCCGTTTTGGTTTCACAGTGCCGGTTTGATTTTTAAAATCTCTTGTGTGGGATACCTAGCTGACTTGTTTAGCCACAGTCAGAGATAGTTTAAGGTTTTATCACACAGTGGCTTTTGTAAAAGAGGCAGACCACTTGTTGTACTCAGCTGTTCTTCCTTAGAGTCTTTTTATTAAAAGAAACTTGCAATACAAAACCAGATGACTATGAGCTGCATTATATTTACACTTACAGTTGGACATTTCAATCTGATTAAACAGCTCACTTCAAAAACATAAAATATTACCAATTATTTTTATCTAGTTTCCAGTGCAAATATCTTATTACACTTGAGTTAAGACAAAACTAACTTAAAAGTAGCTTCTCAGCAAAATATAGGAGCTTGTTTTAAGTCAACATTATTGAAAAAGGACTAGTTTCACCTGCAGATTCTTTTTTTTTCTTATAACATGTGGAAAACATCTTGTTTTCTACATTTTTTCAACCTGTTTGGAGCACAGGATTTCATTGGAATACAGTGGATTGATTTGAAAGCTGTATATTTAGAGATGAGTTGGACTTGTTTGTCTTTCACCTCTTCAAGGTGCCTTGAGCTGAGATCTGATGTAATGTGGCTCTCTATGAATAAACTTATTTGAAATGAACGGGAAGTTTATATTTAGATATAATTCTACACTCATTTCTGTGCTGCTCTGACATCTGACAGCTCATCAGCCTAAAAAAAAAACCATCCAGGGATCTATCAGGACATGTTCAATCCAGCTCCTGTTACTTAGTGATGCCAAAAATCCCCCTTTTTTGACAGCTCTTGGTTTGTTTGTTTCTAATAGGTAACCAACCTGACAGTAGAATAAGAGTCTGATTTCTTAATGACTTTTATAGAGCTCGGTGCATTTTCACTTCGACATCAAAAACTACTTTCCAGAGAGGTTTCTGTATGCATTGTCATCTCACTACACCTCTAAGTGACTCAGCTGTCAATGTCGCAACAAAAAGTAACGATTCATTGATGTGTGAGAATATTTTCCCATTTTATGTTTTCTTTTTACTGATCCTTAATTTCCTTCAACACATATCGATTAACTGTGTCATTTCAGTATCGCCTTCCCTCCCATCTCAGCTCACTTTAGTTTGCTTCCCTCTCCGCTTTCCTTTGAGATAAGTAATGACTTATTGATTTGGAAATACGTAGGACACGATATATTGCAGCTCGTTAATTCATCTCTCCGCCTCCCGCGGCACGTTTTCGACATTTAGTTTGACTTTTTGCGCTGAACTGCTCAGCAAAACTAAAGTTGCAGAGCGCTTTGACGCTTTTAGATCATGCAAGGTTAACATCACGATGATCAATCAGGAACACTTGTACCTTGATTTTGCAGTTATGTAATCCAGGGAGACATAAGGGAGCCGATATTATATTAATGAAGCCAAATGCTAGCGAAAGGGATCCTTGTTTTTCCTTAAAGCGGCACATGAAAAAAAAAAAAAATCTGCGCCTGCTTATCCTGCTAGACTCTTAGTCAATCGGAATAATGCATATCGGGCCTGTTTAATGTTTCACAGTTTCAACGCTTCAACAGCTTTTATTCAGATCTGTCAAATCAGCAAGTGCATATTCAAAAGTCATATATATTTCAAGTTGCTGTGATTTTTTGTTGATATTCAACAGGATGCCGTACGAGTGCCATTTTCAGCTCCGGATGTGGGATATTTATTGCAGAGATTGCCAACAGTCAGCGCGCTCTGACTTATTTGTTCCCATGTGACACCTGACATCTTCTCTTTGATATAAGCCGCTCAGTTCTTAAGTCCTCGGCTGTGCGGGCACTTTCACAATACTGAGAGGGAGTTTATCTGTGGGTGGGTTGAGGGGGTGAGAGGAGGGTGTCGGGAATGATTTGTGAGGGATTTGATTTTCATCCTTCTCACTATATGGCTGCATAAATAAAAGCCTGCAAACAGGCTGAGCACAGAGGCGACCTGATGATGGAGCTGTAGCATAATGTCTGCGGTGACTGGAGAAAGTGGCATGAAACTTCCATTTGTGAGCTTGTCTGCGGAGTTGCGATTTGAATAAGCTCATCTGGGTGCGTGAGATTCTCTCTAGAAAGTTAAAATGCTGAACAAAACACGTCTTTTGCCTTAAGGTTCCAAACTTTAATGATATTTTCTTTGTAGGGTTTCTAGAAATTAATGCATCTCTCGATTCATCTTTTGCACAATGGGAGATAAACGGCCAGTCACACACACTTTTCTCTGAAGCTTAAAGTGTCTTGTAGCCCTAAAACCTTTTCTCATTTTGACAATATATTTTATTAAGATTTTACTGTATGAGCGTAATTGTATAGTGGAAGCTAAACATGTTTTTTTTTTTTTTTTTTTGTTTTAAAGCAGCAAAGTGACACACATCTGTATTCTCTCCCTCAGAGTGAATATTGTGTAGAATCACCTGTCTTTGCACCTATACGTCTTTTAGGGTAAGTTTATAAAGGCTTTGCACATCTACAGAAATACATTTTTGCCAATTGTTCATTGAAAAATGGCAGGTATTTGGATTGGATGTAGCCCCTCTGTAAATAGCCATTTTCAAGTCTTCTCAATTAGATTTAGGTTTAAAAGACCATTTTGTTGTTGGTGTGGCTGCTTGATTAGCTTCGCTCTCCTGCTGGTGGCGTGAATCTCTTGCACTCTAGTTCTTTAGAGCCTCCAACAGGTTTTCCTTAATGGCTGTCCCTGAGTTTCATTAATCTTCCCATCAGCTCTGACCAGCTTCCTTGTCCCAGTTGAAGAACAACGTCTCCACAGCATGATGCAGCCATGACTAATGATTGCTAACACACCTTTGAGGCCTTCACAGAGCAGCTGTATTTACACAGAGTATAAATTACACACAGGTGGACTCTGTTTACTAATTAGGAAGCTGCTGAAGGCTATTAATAAAAATGCACACCACATTTTCAAATATAAAACTGCTTGAAAACCACATACATCATACTCTGTCAATCTATCACGTAGAATCCCAAATAAAATACATCAATTTTGGGGGGTTTTTGTCGCGGGGATAGTTATAGACGTATGGCTACTTTTGCAATGCTGCTGTTGTAGCTCGAAAGCCGATTACTTTGTGTGATTCGTTTTAAGATTGTGTGCAGTTTGCATGGCAAAAGTTTTATGGATTGTTGTTAACATGAAGTGCCAGGCTCAATAATCTATAAACTGTCACAATAATAAACAGCTGCTTCTCCAGAAACAATCACTGTTTCGGTAATGAACGACAGCCAAGATCTTCTGCTGCTCATGTCATTCAGGTGGAGGCAGCAGGGAATTTTTTTTGTTTTTTTTCCTGATAATGACCAAACAGCCCCAAATGACCTTAGACCTGCTGTTTTCCAGTAAACTGGCACTTGAATCAGTGAATTTAATTAACAGGTTCATGCTTGTTGTGCTCTTCCATTCTGTTTGACGACTCAACAGTAACTAAAGAAGTAATGAACACATGTAGCTGAAAGGAGATTTTTTTTTTTTTTTACAAAAAGTGCTGAAAAAAACTGTGAATGGAATAAAATACAAGGAACAAATGGATATGTTACAGAAGTCACAATGAGGTGCTCTTTTTACCTTACATTTGGTGAGGTAATTGTACACAATTTTCTCCAGAAAGACTATACATCTTACCTAATTTTCCCCTGAACTTTGTTGTTAGGTTATCTTTCTGTAAAACACTGTACTGTAAGAGTCTGGTTTTGCAGAAAGACCAGTGGTCTTTCTGTTTTTTGTTGATTTACTGCAGAAAAATGAAAGAAAAAAAAAATCATAACACACATACTTATTTTTTTAAAGAATTGTTTTCTAGCTTCCCAGCTACAGGAATTTCTAGCAGAACTTCTAAATTAATGTAATTCATATAATTTGGAATGTTAAATTGCACCGTTGTACTATTTTCCTAATTAGTACAAAATTAAAAACCATTTTTCTATTTATTTTACCCTGCAGACATACTGAAGAGATAATGGTTTACATTCCACTCTCCCTGGGGTTCCATGCAGAAGCCTTGACTAAACCCATGACTTTCAGATATTGTTAATTTGCTGGAGAGATCATTTTAGTCCTAAAAATACTTCATTGATTCTTCACTTGTTCACATCTACAAAGTACAAAGAATTAGGGGTGTCTTAATACTTTTGCACAGCGCTTTTGCACATACAAAAAAATGGATAAATGTATGGCTTTAAAATAAAAATATTCAACCAATAAGCTGCTTCAGTGTAATTTTAATTTGAGTAGTAGCAAAGAGTGCTGACTGATGGTAAATCATATAAAAAATGATATTTAAATCATGATCTTATAGCCAAATCGCATAAACTTTCCTCTATGTTGATCGTTTTTGCAACTACTAAACAGGCATGAACGACTTATAGCATCATTTTTCAGCACTGTTTCATGTTTGATGTCCTAATCCGCAGCAACAAACCATTTTGCTTAATGGCTTAGTCGTGCTTTCAACACTGAATATTCTGACAGGCGGTCGTGCTTTCCTACCTCGCACCACAATGGTGGTGGACTTCTTGGCCGGGTTTCCCACGTTGTTGCTGGCCACGCAGCTGTAAACCCCGGCTTCGTCCGAGGTGATGGCGGGCAGCGTGAGCGTGCCCCCCTTCACTACGCTTCTCTGCGGCAGGCTGTCGTTGCTGCTGACCCAGGTGAGGATGGGGGGCGGCTCCCCTCCTGTGGTGATGCAGACCAGCGACACGGTCTGGCCAGGATTAACCACGATTGGATCCTCCACCAGAAGTTTGATAGATGGAGAAGCTGCAGAAAGAGTACAGTCTCATGTCTGCAGGTAGCAATGCATTTATGGAAAGATTTTTTTTATTTAAGGCTTTTTTTTAAAAGGCCATAAATCAGAGAAATCAGCGTTTCACATTAACTAGACGACGTTCATGTTCAAACATAAGAAATATTTTTCTGATCAGATGTCAGTATTTTCTACACAATGCCAATAATTTCCAATGATTCATTCAGACTGTGGGAAAGTGAGAGAGAGCAAGACTTTTACAGGATAACAGAAGGTGCATATATACATAAAATAATAAGTAGTATGCAAAAATTACCCATCCATGTGTTTAGTTGACTTTATTTGCACATAAGAAAACATGAAAACACAACAGTTAAGGAAAAGATGCATGAAGTGCAAAGGAAATTAACTAAAGCTATTAAAACAGATCTAATCTAAAAGACTTTGAAAGCAATCAACTAACAATAAACGAGGTAACAGACAGACAAAGAAATATTTAACTAAAAGAATAAGCTTGTCCTCTACCTGTCTTATTGGTGAGTCCGAAGATAACGCTGCGGTCAGGAATCCCACACACATTTCGGACAGAGGCGATGCAGCTGTAGTTGGCGTAATCTTGAGGACGCAGGTTCTTCAACTTCAGGATCTTTGTTTCCCCCTGCAGCTCAGACCAAACCAACACTGGTATGCAAATATGTGCAAACGCATCATCCTAATTAAAAGCAGGAATGCTGCAAAACATAGATCTGGGGAGGCAATGAAAAAGGCCTAACAGCTCCAGAGTAAGGTCAGCGACATGAATATTTATAAAGCTTTAACAAAGACAAAGGGGGAGAGGAACAGAGAGCAGAATTCAAGCACATTACTGTTGCACTGAAATAGGAATGATGCGGATACTTTTTTTTTTTTCTAAATGAAGAAAGAAATTTGTCAGCTCGCCTGCTACCAGCAAGAGGATTACTCCACAGAAAAGGCTCCTGCAGTATTTTCACAGCGGAGCTACAGAAATATGGACGGGCTCAGTAGGGGATCTCTCCACAGAAATGGCTATCTCATTGAGAATATGTGTTTGATTCCAACTGGGCCTGTCAGCCACAAGCCTCGCCCTAAAGGTTAGGATGAGGATGTAAAACCTTTGATCTGGCTGACTCCAGCGTGTGGGTGAAAGGACGGAGAGAGGATTAAAACATGACTCACACACATGCTGCAGCGGCCCAGAAAATATGGCAATCACCGGTGTCTTTTAGACCCTTTCACATCCAAAGAAACCGAAGGGTGACTTAATTGTGTCGCATTAGCTACGGACCTCACATTCCACACCCTTTCTCTTACCGCCACCTTCCTCTGCTTTGAAGCAGATGTATGTCAGGAGATGAGGGAGGCAGTAATGTAGAAATGGTTAAGGTGGAAATGAAAGGCAGAGAGAGGAAGTTGCAGGGAAGGAAACTTTCTAAGGGCCAAATAGATAAATAAATAGAAACACAAAGTCATTTTTCCAAAAGCGGACTTGTGAAATGGGATGTTCAAATTGATGGGAAGTCTGAGCACTATGGGAACAAAATGGCTCCATCGCAGTGGAAAGAAATCACAGGGGCACTTCAATGATGAGTTCTATGAAAAATGTTCCAGTCCGTTTTCATTTCGGTGCTTTAGTTGAATTTGAGCTAGATTTAAATCCAGTCAAAAAGTTTTTTCAAGCAATAGAAAAAAAGAAGACTGGTACAACAGTGCTGAAGGGGTGGATTGGGAAGGCGGTACCAAAATTTAAGAAAGGGGAACAGAGAGTGTGCTCCAGGTATTAGGGGAACATTCTTCTCAGTCTCCTTGGGAAAGCTCATCTGGGGTCTTGAGAGAAGAGGCTGATTGTCGGACATTGGATCCAGAAGGAGCGATGTGGCTTTTGTCCTGGCCGTTGGCGGTGGACATGATCTTTATGGGAGTATGCTTCTAGCCATAAGTTTTGAAATTTTGATTTTCAGACAGTGCTTTGTTAGGTCTGTGCTGAAAAAAATAGTTTAAAATCCTAAGACCCACATCAGCTGATGTTGAGCTGAGATGAAGTTCTACTTTCTTTAGTTTCTTAGAAAATGTTGCTAGGACTTCACAGCTCAAGCAGAAAAGTAGGAAAGTTCGTGTAGGATCAATTATTTTCCACATCATGGAAATCACACAGTATTTATATTTTTTTGTTGCCACATAGTACATGCAAAAGTAAACATTAAGTGATAAGTGAGTTATAATGAAGCTGTTCACTCAAAATTAATTATAAGAGCTTTGGTAAAAACTGATAAAGAAAATGGTATCTTTGACGTTGGATCTTTACCAGCTGTACTGGTCTTCAACATTTTAGCAGTATGTGCAAACATATTTAAGAAATCCAGAATATTTAATGTCAATTCATTCAAAAATGAGTGAATAAGAAAGGAAATAAAGTAGAGGGTTTCTTACTAGTTCTCTGTAGTAAATTTAAAATGCAATATCTGCATGTTTCTGTCATTTTTGGGAGTCTAACACGTGCAACGCTGAGGATAACACAAAGCATAGTTGAAAGAAAGAATAGTTGAAGGTAAGAGTTGCAAAAGTAAACTTTACAGGAAATCTACTTTCCTGGGTCCCGCATATTGCTGAAAACATTTATATGAGCAAATTACTTGGAGTTTGGTCAGGTCATATTTGGACCTGGTCTCACAAACTCCTAATCTCTAGGTTTTAGGTTGTGCTCTAATTTCCAGACCCAATTAGGGTTCTAATAGTGGCTAATAGGAAGGATGGTGCGCAGATGGGATGAGTGTTATTTGAGGCCCAGTAGTGCAGCGTTTTCATTCTGCCTCACTCACTCTATTAGTTAACACCCATCTTCCTTCATTTGAGCCAAACATAATTTTCACTTCCTTTTCCTCCCTTTCTTTATGTCCTAAGCCTGTTTTCTGCTCCATTTTTTATTTTTTGTGCAGATTCATATTCTCACTGATGCAGACTTCCAAGTACGTATCAAATCACATTTAACTCAATCTATTGAAAAACGACAATACCTTCACAAGTGATGGAACAATCTCAGTCAGCTCTTTGTCGACTGCAGAAAATCCTTTTTGGAACAAAAGCTTTTCTGTTTCAGACTGCATAGAAAATCCACTTGCTCAACCACTTGTGATGGAAACCCACCTCACAAATATGCATGTAAACCATGAAATCTGGCTTAGCTTTTCAGAAGGTTCATTAAGGCAAGTTCTGCTGTCCCGTCTGGGAGGTTAGTCGGGCATGAGGTAGACAGATGAAAGGGAAAAAACTACAATTACGCCATTTTCCTAATCTGTGAGACATTCTGTTGATTTGATAGTTATGAACAAAGACTTGTCCAGAAGTGTAGTGACAATGCAGATTATTGGTCTACAATGATTGGTCTATGATACGATGTTCATAAACTATTTATTCTTATCCTTTCCTTTATATCCAAGTTGTCTGTTCAATTGGATTGGCATTTCATAGCAAGCAATAATCATAGGAGCCTCTGAAATGTTTGTGTTTACTGGCACAATCTATAAATGTGCTGTAAACACAATATTTTATTCCACATTTGTCTTTTGTGAGTGAAGGAATCAATAACCGCATTGCTTTATGAGCGCATAAAGTATCTGCCACAAACACTCTTTCTTGAAAATGAATTTCACAGGACCGACAAAAGCTGAAAAAAACCCAACAAAACACTATTTTTTTTTACCATTAGTTACTTCAGTTGTAAAAAAAAATGTCTTAATACTAACCTGTGCCTTGGTAAACATCCAAAATTGGCTTTAAAGCTGCAGTTTTCTTTAGAAATTGTTATCCATGTTGACAAAGAATAATTTCTTTCTGCCTATCAAAATTATTTTCAGTATATTGCTATTTTTTGAGTAAATGCTTGTCATGTTATCCATTTCATTTTAGCCAGTTTAAGATATTAGTCCAAATAAATTAATTTTATATACACTCAATAAATGCTTTTTTATTCTGCAAAATAAAATAGGTCTTAATGAGCTGAAATTGTCCGAAAATGTTTCAGCAGTGAAGTTATCTCGACTCCTTGACATCCTTTGGTGGAACATGAGGAACCTTAAGTTCAACATCACACTTTTATTCATGTTTCCAGTTTTTTTAAAAGAAATATTTTCTGAGCTTGAAAATCCTTATAATCACAAACAATGCGACTGCGACTGCCAAAAATCCTGAAATTCAAGAGTTGGAAATGCTGTTAAAATGTCAAATGCTACCAGCGTGGCATCCTAACTAGAATGTACAAAACAGAAGTCTAAGAACAGAAGGTTGTTATGCACTTGGGGACAAAACACCATCCGAAACCGCGGAAAAGCCTCTGGCAGTTTGTGGTTTCTTCCCACACTACGCGCTACATACTGTACAAAGAGGAGCTTTGGGCAGAAAACATTACTAAGGACAAAGCTACAAAAACAACTTGTATTACCAAAGCTTTCTAAGGAACACCATACCTAATCATGGTCACTGTGATGGGTGGGAATAATAGAATAGACCAAAAACATTAAAAAGCAGGGGAATAAAAGTGCTTAGCTTGACTATCTAGTTCCAACCATAGGTAAGGAATGATTATAAAACGACCCATAACTTTAATGAAAAGCAAATTAAAAAATAAATGAAAAAGCCAAGGTTAGAAAAATCTAAAATCTTAACAGTGGTCCTTCTGAAATTAGCTTTAATTTAAAACAAACCTTCCCTCTGTCTTACCTGTGTGAAAAACGGCTCATAAATCTCCACACCCTTGTCGGATCCCTGTGTCAAAACCTCCCTCCCACGATGCCAGCTGTAGCGGACGGGCGGGTTGGAGTTGGCCACACAGCGCAGGAACACAGTCCTCTCGTAGTAGAACTGCTCCTTCGCTTCTCCTATACTCTGGTGAACCGTAATCACCGGGTTATCGAGGTCTGTTGGAGGAGCAGACACACAGCAGAGAAAGCATTTAATAAAGGCTTGTCTTTGAGATGTGGGAGTTTATTTATTACATTAACCCAGAAAATGTAGACATGTAAAGATGGGGACCAATTTGTTTAAGAAGAGTAAAGGCCTTAAAGCAAATAATTATTTGGGCATAATAAATGTAATCAGAAGAGTCTTGGGTTCTTTTAATGTCTCTCCTCAGTTCAAATGTTTTCTGTAGGATTTTGGTCTGTAAACTGATATGTCCATGGAAGAACATTGACTTTGTATCTGGTAGAATATTTCTGTGCAGATGCATGATTTAGATTATAACTGATGGAAGCAGCATAATTCAAAAGTAATGGTATTTCAAAGAGTCAATGATGCCACACACTCAACAGGCCTACAGCATCACAGATACTCTGCCATACTTAGAAGTGAGCACAAGGTGCCTTTCCACGTATTTAAGCTTTGCTTCATGTCAGATCCAGCCGGAGTGTTTGCTGGTGAAAATGTTTCTGGCCAGGTCTGGCAGCAGTAATAGACTGTTCAGCTACAAATTGTTTCTAGCATCAATAAATACAACTACGGCGCCTCACAAGCCGAGCTCTTGGATTGCCGTTTAAGGCCGAGCAACAAGGATCAGAACTTCCATCACATTACGAGAGACGGCTATCAGTATGCACTTTGGGGTCGATATGAAAACGAAGGTGAGAGGCCCCACTACTTAAACTACTTAAGTCAATAGGATGCAGCCCAAGGGCACATTGACTGCTCAGTCAAATCAAGCTGCTTCCGTGCTCCAAGTTGCACTCCATTTTGAGCTTTAAACAAAGCAGAGGATGACAAACACTGCAGAGAAAATGATGTTTGATGTCCATCACTTCAAAGAGCCCTGTTTGGCCGGCCTTGGCTCTGATTTAGAAACTCTGTGATTTGACACATCCATCCAATTCCCGACAGATTTCAGAGGAAGTTTTACCCGAACACGAGACAGTTGGTTATTTGAGAAAGCGCTTGTGGTTGATTAAATGGATTCAAAGTTAATCATCTTACCCAGCTATCGCATTAAGCCTTGGCAAATGGTGTTCATCATAGCCGTGCTGTCTTTTAGCATGCTAATACTCCGTCTTTTAGATTACGTCCATTTGCATGCTCAAAGAACGGGGGGGAGGGTGCTGCTTCCCTTTCATCTCCGTCCAAGATGCAATCAGTTTTTAAACACGAGCAAAAAGGCAATAAAGGAAGAGGATGAAAGAAGCTAATGCAAGTTATCCCTCATGCTAAAATTCTAACTGATAAAGCCTGACCTTTTGCATATGAAGGGAAAAAGGATTGAGTGCATTAATGAGTGTGTTAGTGTGTCAGCTGCAGAGCAACAAGGTGGATGATTGGACTTGTGGGTGAATATGCAAGTGGGAGAGCTTACAGTAAATGAATACACACATCTTTAATCATTATCTGTCTCCAAAGGGGGGAGGGAAAAAAACACTATGCACATACCTCCGGTATTATTAATAGTCAAATTCATTGCTTTTAATTCAGAGGCTTTGCCCCATGCCTGGATTTGCTGGGATCAGGTCCTAATCAAGGCGCCTGTGGGCCGTGATGCTCAGCATCCAGCCTTGGCGCTACAGCCAGGAGAATGCTGATTCCTCAGTTTCATTAAAGGCATGTTCTGCCCTACAGCCCCTTAATCAAAATCTAGCTGCGTTCAATACTTCATCCAGGAGCCATTACAGTGTCTCAGGTAAGAGCAATTACCTTTAGGACGGGAGGGGAGGGAAACCCGAGGAGTGACAACACGGGGGAGAAGACGGAGCAATCGCAGGACCATTTCAGACAAGCAGATCGCTCTAAGTAAATACACTGATTCATTATAGCGAGGCAGGGAAGAGTATGAATCCTACATCTTATCAGCGACTCCACCCGCCTCCTGCCCCATCTGTTTCCAGCATCAAACAGTCAATTTACCAACTGTGGCAGAAACTGAGTGATTCATTGACAGCCCTATCTACCTTGGGATACGCGTGTCTTTGAACGCTGGACAGATACGAGGTTGCGGTGACAAGAGTGAAAGCATGTTCCCCTGTTAGCGTGCGTCTTGGGTAAGGAGCAGTTTGAGCTATTAATAGGGCCGAAATTATATGCAGGGAGGAAGTGGATGCTAGAAGCGTGGAGATAAATATGGAAGTATGGAAATGTACAAGCTGGATTAAAATTTGATGAATTTTAAACAAAATTCCACCTCCGACATCAGTCTCTCTCCTGTAAGGAGGCTGTGCGTGTATGTGTGTCACTCTTGTGCAATTAGCTTCTTAAGTCACGCTTGACTGATTGTGAGGCTTAAATCCCTGAGCCCAGAGGAAAACTGTGTTGTACGGGCTGCCTGTGCCAGAGTTGTTAGGGTTTGTAATTGCAGGTTTATGGCTTCACAGGCCGGTAAATCTTCCCATGTACGGCTAAACGCTCCAGTGCACTAACCGTTGCATCACTCCTGCTCACCTCTACCAACCATGACAAGTCTCAAATCTCTGAATTCCTCTGATATGAAAACACGGGGGAAGGAGGGTGAAGGGCAGCATGATACACAGACGTGCAAACGCTCGATGCGACGCTTGTGTGACTCATGGGTGGTCTCGCAAGGCAGGCGCACAAAGAAAGCCGGAGCTCTCAGTTTATCACCAATCATTTTCCTCTCCAATGTGAGAAATCCTTTAAACAAAGCCTGAAGATGATGATACTCCCATCTGATTAGCAGAACTACTTTAGAAGTGTACTAAAGTGTACCAAAGCATTTGTCGGACAAATAGATGAAGGTGATTGGATGAAAGACTAAAGAAGGCACTTCATTATCACATCAAACCAAAGCTCAATCCTTTCATGCCCCCCTTTGCAAAAAAAAAACAAAAAAAAAACAGCACCTGTGTGAAAACATGTGCATTACTCCACTCCACCGTGAATCCAGAGACCTCTGAGGCTGTCCCTCCCAGAGCGAGTTTGCCTATATTTTCTCGACTTTGATGTCTTTCACCCTCTGCACCTGACGTGATGAAGTCACCGTGGAAAAGATACCCATCATGCTGTCAGCCGTGAGCGACAGAATCATGCCTCTAATTTCACCTAATGACTGTCCCGGGGGGTGGTATGGGTGGGGGAGGGGGATTGCTGCTGACCTGAATGACATTTGTGTCTTTCATGAGCAGAAACAGTGCCATCATGTCACTGACAAGCAAATTGCTTTCATTTTCTCCAAGGGCAAAAAGAGGAATAGAAGGAGGTCAAGATATAAAACTAACAGAACAACTTTGCAGTTACGTCCAAAATAATGCATACCCCTGGCAGATGTTTTAATGTGAACCACATGTACAAGTTCAAGACCTGCTATATCCATTAATGTTGTCCTAAATGTATTGTTTGCTAGTTGTTTTCTTCTGTTGCTTACTTTGTCTCTATATCTGATTAATCCAGCAAATAGCACTAATTATCACAAATACCCATATGAAATGAAGCAGTTGTCAGCCACATTATTGTTCTTTTGCATCTTATTTCATTTGTCTTCTCCATAAGTCTCCTCCAACAGCAGGAGTGTTGGGGAAAAAAAATCATTTTCAGACCTCCAGTGGAGAGAGAATGGACCCCACCGAGTAAATAAGAAGCCATGATTCTTAAAAAGTTAAACTAGAACCAATGATTTAGTCTCAGCAGTTGCACTTCATAACTTGTATAAAGTACCTGAAAACCTAGTGGAAAGGTGGAACAGTAACAAAGGTGGAACGTTAATCAAACTTCATTTTTTCCCCCATGTTTTTAAATCACAGCAGGGGGAATGAAAGAGGTTCAATCTCTTGGCTGGTGGAATAATATCCACCGATTTTTAATTATTAAAGCCTGCACTTTTTGTTGCAAAGGAGCTTTATCCACACAAACGCACACATTTCTTTCAATTTAAAAATAGTGCATGATACAAAGTCTTGGGAATGTTATGTGTAAGACTTGATTTGAATGATATATTTGCACACAAGCAATTATTCCTAGTCTATGATTAAATATCAACAGTAGATTGCAAAGATTAAAACTAAAACTACAAATAGTCCATTCTGAGGTTTACCATATCCCACCACAAAACCAAAACAATTATCTCCCAGCTACTACCATTTTCTGAGCCACAATTTGATGCTGTTGATCTGATTTGGTCTTTACCTCTGCAGTGGAAATAACTGGGGGTGAAAGTAGAGCTATTGAAAACTGAAACGTTCTTTAAGTGGAAACATCTTCAGTTTGACATTTCCTGTTGGGCTGAAATGATCATTGATGACTAGAGAAATTAAAGTCGGCCATTATTTTAACTATATCCATCTAATCTAGTAATGCTTGAAATAGGCCAAATTACATGGATTACTTATGCAACATCAAAGATGAAAAGAAGTTGATAGGGATTCTGTTTACCGCTCAACAGCTGTCATTTTAAATATACTACTGCAGTTAATCAATCGTCAAAAACGTTGCGCAATTTGTTGTTCAACAGCCATGCCTAGCATCTGTATTGCCAGTTACAATGAAACAAATTAACCACCATCTTTTTTTCAAATCTTTACCCAGGCAGTATTTCACAGCATCTGATAACAGTTTGATAACAACCTGAGACCTGCTCTGGGCACTGATTGGCTAATTGTTTGTTTTGTGCTGCTCTCGCCGAATTAATTCTGCTTTTTAATCAAGGCACCTCTGCTTCACGTCCCAATCTCTGACAATTCAGTTAACTAGGCAGAGTGGATTGGTTTTAGGTTGGAGAATATTCAGTGCATTATGCTTTTTAGCAAAATGCACTCCATGTAAAATCCAACTGTACAGAGCAAATAGGCACCAATATATGTGAATAGATAATGAAGTAGTCTCTGCTTCCCGAAGGCTTTCAGGATTTACTAAAAACACTGGAAAACATTTCATATAAAATTTATAACAACTATTTAGTAGTAGCATCCCCCCACAAAATAACTGTACTGCA